TTCTAAATGGTCTATTAACTTTCAGGCTCTGATAACAAATTAAAGAAATAAGAAAACCCGTATAAAAATCTGGTATCAGAGCCTATAAATAATAATTTTAAGTAAAAAAGTTATTTTTATAACAAATATAAATTTAAGGACTAAAAGATAAAAAAAAATTATAATCAAAGGACTAACTGTTCTATAAGAAGTTTTCTATTATCTTTGAACAAGTAGACGAAATTGAAATGAATCTGAAAGTCAATAGACCACTTAGAAATAAAAAATAGTTTCTAAACTAAAATGAAATCAAGGTGATAGTTAATAGATTAAAAATTAAATTAAGCCAAAATGGAATAGAGTTCTAGAACTTAAACTCACACAACGTAGCCCCTAGTGCCTACCTGTCAATACCACCGTCAACGGTGGAAAAGTCGTTGGTTACGGCCCTTTTCCAAAGCCCAAAAATATCTTCACCAACCATACAGTCTTTACATTCTTAGTGTATATATGTCGATTGCGTTTATGGACCATTCCACTTCACAAACATTGCCCCCAGCCCCCAAGCTCTCTAGCTTTATTTCTCTCAAAATCGCTCTCAAATCCCCAAATCCCTTATTAAAGCTCTTTGATTAACTCATGGCAGTTCTAAATAATTTACCTTCATGCAGAAACCTAATCACCATTCTCAGTATTGATGGTGGTGGAATTCGAGGGATCATCCCCGGTGTCATCCTTACTTCTCTAGAATCTGAACTTCAGGTAACTACTAAAAGTGAACAATTGTTATAATCTCTTCATTCTCAACTTTTACATTCAATTGTAGTACTTGTCCAATTATTATATGTTATTATCTCTTTTTTTTTTTTTTGCTCATATTGCAACAAGAATGAACAATTCAAACTGATTTTTGTAATCTTGGCCTTGGGTTCAGAAACTGGATGGCAAAGAAGCAAGAGTAGCAGATTATTTTGATGTGATTGCGGGGACTAGCACTGGCGGCCTGGTGACAGCCATGCTAACTGCTCCTAATGAAAAAAACCGTCCCCTGTTTGCTGCCAAAGACATAAAAGACTTCTACCTCACCCACAGTCCTAACATCTTCCCCCAATCCAGGTAACAATGTTCTAAATTTCATTAATAATATGTTTGGTAACATGATTTTGATATAATATATTTAAATTTAAACCCTTTAAATTTAATATTATTGTTCATTTTCATATAAATAAGATGTAATTAAATTTAAATAAAATACATATATTTTAGAAATATAAATACCGTGTATTTTAATTTTTCCCTCAAAACACATAAATTTCAATTTCAAAATGAATTTCCTCTGCCCTCTCTCCACACGGCGATGGAGCCTCCATTGTCCGTTCATAATCGACTCTGCTGCTGCTCTCTCACCTTCTTGTCGTTGGCCACTCAAACCACTCCACGATCGAGTGAATTGGGTTTGCTGCGCGACACCGTCTCTGTAGTTGCTTTACTTTTCTTCTACAACGTGTGTTAAAACCAAAGACAGAACAGTGATCCGCTGGGAGTCAGACCCACACCACGCCATCCCTCTTCCCTTCTTTCCGACACGAGCTCCTCCTCTGTTCTGCTAAAAGTTCTGGTTTGTGTTGATCTTCCTCTTGGGTTTGCTGCATTGTGATTTGCTATTGATTCGAGGTTTTAGGGTTTGATTAGTAACATAGCATGATTTTGGCGTTTGATCAGCTGATGGGTAATTTGGAATTAGGGTTTATGTACCTGCTTTTTGGTTCTGAGTTTTGATGCTGAAAATTTACTGCTCATTTGTGTCCTCTAGGTGGATTTTTAGCTCCAAATTGCTTAGAATCTTTGTTTGCCTGAATCTACAGTAAATAGAAAGTTGTTTTAATGGGGGCCTTGTTTGCTATATGAATTTGTTTATCTACTTTAACTGCACTTTTCAGGTTTCATCTTGATTGTGAGTTGGTTATGCCATTGAACTTTTAAAGGTTGTTTTTTTTTTTTTCTTTTTTTCATTCACTTTTCGGCATTGTTTAGGAAAGGAAGCAATAATGTTGTTTTTGTTTTCCAATCTTCTAAATTAGTAAATTTTGATCTCTTGTTCATAGATTAGTCTTCTGTAGTGGTAGTAGTAGTCATACACTTATACTACGAGGACTTGCCACAAGTTTGAATTTTTTTATGTGACAAAGTGATTAGTGGAGGTAATTGCTCCTTTTTTTATTCAATTTGTTTGTCTTGAGATAATATAAATAATGTTTTGGAAGACTAAAATTGTTAATTTTGGTCTTATTAAATTTAAATAATGATTAGAAGAAGATTTAATTTGATAAGAAAATTTTAATTTTAAATGCATATTATTTTAATATATTCAAACAATATATTTAAAAATACATTTTTTTTTAAATTTATTTTTTTATTCAATCCATATAATGTATTTTAAAATACATATATATTAAATACATGTATTTGAAATAAACATTTTAAATACGAATTCATGTTCCCAAACGCAACTTAACTTAATTTATATTAATATTTATGTATGGCTTTTAATTAATTATATAAGCTAACAATGTTTTTTTTTCTCCCTTTACTACAGCAGTTGTCCATTACTTGCTCAAGCGAAAAACCTCATCAATTTTCTGTCTGGATCTGGACACAAATGTGATGGAAAATATCTGCATGAGCTTCTTAGGGAAAAATTGGGAAACACGAAACTGCATCAGACATTGACAAATGTTGTTATTCCTGCGTTTGACATCGAAACAGATCAACCAGTCTTCTTTTCCACTTATGAGGTTATATTATAATCCCCTCTTTAGTTTTAAGCTTTAAACTTGCT